TTTGAATGAATCAGTCTTTTTTTTTTTTACACAGCTCATAATATGCAGGTGCCAGCAGGAGACCTGCTAATCTTCAATTTTACCTTTTTCTACAACAAAGAAAGTGGGAAACATAGGGTGGGGGCTTATCAATGAGGCGGCGGGCATCGGATCGGCAGACAAGGTGTGGGGGAAACTAAAAAATGGCGGAAAATTGGAAGCACTGAACGTTAGATCTATAGAACGAAGACACTTCCTTTTTTCCGGACCCGTGTCCAAATAACATTTTTTCTTATTCGGACTCGAGCCCGAATGTGAATTTTTTTTATTCGGACTCGAGTCCAAATATGAAAAAATGTTATTCGGACTCGGACTGGAGTCCGAATAATGCCGGCCTCCATAAACTCCATATTGTATTCGGACCACTGCTGCATTATTTTTCATGCGAGTATTCCTGTGCTGTTTCCTCATTCACTTGGAGCGACCGCAGCATTTCAGTCGTGCCTCTGTGCCAGTGGTGGAAGATTCAGGGTACCCGTGGCGTGAACTCTGCAAACTATGTTGACAGCGACGTGAACGTAGTCACTCAACTGCGAATTCTGTGTAGACCTACCTCATTACTTTAGGCCTAGGACCAGCGATGAGAAATGACAAGGCCCTCCTAATATAGTCCTTCTAATAATAAATTAAATACAGTGAACATGACATAAATCTAGTTGAGAGAAAGACGATTGATAGTCTAGTCTAGATCTAGATCTAGATCTAGTTGAGTCTGAGTATGGACCAACCTGGGTGGCGCATGAGGACAGAGCCCTGGGATATTGTAGCATGCGCTGCCTCGCACTTTTAACAGAATTCATTGCTGTTCAAACAGAGAACTCCTCCAAATGCTGACCATGGAAAGGTTCTATGGCAGACGACTTTTCTTTTTTTCCTATTATGAAACTGGAAAGGCCGAAAGGTGTTTCTCCCCTCTCTGATAGTGGACCTTCGTCAAAGCAAAGACCTTTCATTCATCATGTCAGTCGAAGTTGTTTTTACCCTTGAAGAGTTCCCATTCAACAGGGGACAGAACGCTCATATCATCACGAAATCAAATCTAAAACTACGATGCTCTCCCTTTGACCATAGCGTCGGTTCATTGTTTCCTCGGCAACTGACCCAAATTAATTGTCACAACCACAGAAAGGTGCAAGATAGGCCTAATTCAAGGAGTTTAATTTTTAATCTCCTTGGCCTTATTCCATTTTTTGTGGGCGAATGTGCGAGAGCATTTTCAGGCTGACGTGTTTCAAAAAATTATGTGAGTTTAGGAAATACATGAAATAAATCTGCGCGCAAGAACTCGCTTGCGTAGTAACTGTTTAGAAATTAGGCCTAGAAAACAAACGGAACTTAATCTACTTAAATCGCATAAACACCTTTCTCTCAACATCAATAATATGATAAATAGCCTATAATTTTTACTGTCGCTTACATTATAATTGTAACCACCTCATAGCCTAGATTACATTCTTTTTAAGTTACCTAGATTTACCCCCCCCC